TTTTGCTCAAAGGATATTTTCGATCGCACCTTCAGTTTACTTTGTAAAAAGTAGTTCATTAAAAACATCTCCTTTTTGTTCTTTGTCAGGTAGTTCTTATGGAATTGAAATTTGGGGAGAAAATTCCACTTTCATAGAACTTGCACTGTTTGTTTCATAGTGGTTCAAAGCAATAAAGCTAAGAATGTGCTATTACGCAATCAATTAGCGTCAAATAGGTGTCTCGACCATGAGGAACCATTAGGGTATTGACAGCTACCTTTACAGATTTCATTAATTGAATGATTAAGACAAATTAATGGACTTTGGTTACCCGTGAGGACTGATATATTTCTGTTTCCAGGAGGCTTCGCTAGAAAACCAAGTTGTACAGGCCAACCCCGCCATCGAAGCGTTTGGAAACGGTGCTACCGTAAGGTATATTTATATATTTGAAATTAACTATATCGTGTATGAAGTTAGGATTTTGCTTTTCTCTCTTATTGATTTTGAAATTATCAGGAACTATAACTCGTCCAGATACGGAAAATTTATTCGTATTCATTTTGACAAGCGTGGAAAGCTGGTAGGAGGCGATATCGAGCATTGTAAGTAGTTTTTTCCCTTTTCCAAACTCATTCTGTTTGCTCTGCAATTGCCGGATCCGCCAGAATCAATGATTCTTTCTACTTCATTGCACCCTACAAGCTTTCTCACCGTGCGTTTTGCAGATCTGCTGGAGAAATCAAGAGTTATCAAGCAGGCTCCTGGAGAACGATCCTATCACATTTTCTACCAGATATTCACTCAGAAGAAACTAAGAGGTAACATCTTAAAGACTACTGACTTATTTTCTCAAAACTTCCACTTCCGTAGCAAATTTAGCCTGATTGAACCTCTTCCTTTCTAAGACATGATTTCCAATGTCTATGTGGTTAGACATAACCAATTATTGCATAAATATTTTAATTTAATGTTTCCAGAAAATTAGTGGCAAACAATAGGAGTAAAGTCTGAGGAATAACTTCTGAGAGTGATTTGAGAGTGTAGATGAGGAAATATGGCGGAAAGTAATGAATGCGTTTAGATGTTCTGCAACTGGGAGATGATATTCGGCAGTACAAATTTGTTTCGCAAGCGGAGATCACTGTTCCCGGAATGGACGATAAGGAGGAGTTCCGAATCACTGATGTGGGCTTTCGTTTATCTTGTTTTTTCTGCGGATTCCACAAAAGTCAAGTAGCAAGAGGCCCTTGATAATTTTTGAAAAGAAAATTGCATGCTTTTTAGTGGTTCCAAGCTCAAACTTCTTATTACATTTGCAGAACGCATTTGATGTTATGCATTTCACCGATCGTGAAAAGCACGACTTATACAAGACATGTGCTGCTATAATGCATATGTCTCGTTTTGCGTTCAGACAGAAACCTCGCGAGGAACAGGCTGAGGTCGACAGCATGGACAGTA